TCCACTTCTATGATTGAAAGAAGGTTTGTAAGTCGGTGACATTTCGTACCCGAATTCGAGCATAAGGTCTACAGCCAAAACGAAGCCCTTACACCGGATCAATCAACCCTTCATTGTTGATAGTTTACTTCCAAAGCAGGTGATTGTGATGCCATGAAATTTGCGACTCTTCGACTACTCCCTGACTATTTGGATTTGCGTTTCCTTTCAGACAATTCTAGTCTGAGAATTAACCCGTCTGAAGTATGCTGAAAGCTTAATCAGAAGAAATTCTTTTTAGAAAGAAAGTAATATATTTTGTTTATTATACAGTCTTTGCCTATTTGCCCAGCAGGATTCTGACTCGTAATTCCAGCTGTCTGATAGACATATTTTAGTATTAGCAATTAAATCAAGTCCAATTTAATCCAGGAGGAATGTGTACGTGTGCTGATTGCTTGAAGAGAAGGTGAAATACTTTTTTCAAGCAAATATTGCTTAGCTCTTGAGCGATAAGTCGTGCATGTTTTATTCTCTTGGGATACAAACAAACTAAACTGCTATTGTATTCAGAGAATTAAACAAAAGTCTTGCCCCATTGTAGAGCTCGCACTTATTAAAGACATCCCATGATGATCCACCCATTTTCCACTCGTTTTTCGTGCTTTTTTTCCTAGTCAGCCCCTACACAGGCCCGATCCTCCACAGCAGGTACGAATGTTGATCCGCGTCTGACTGACGTAAATTGCAACTAGTACTACTTGGCTCTCAAAAGTATGGTAATTAACGCCAATTTATTCGGTATTATCTTACGAGAACTCGTTTTTTTTGGTTTTCCGAAAGGACACCGTTGCCTAGATTGCGTCTACCGGCAGATCCTGTCTAAGCCTGCAGCTGCATCACTGGTCGTCTGTTGTTTCGGGATTGTCGTTCAAGCTCAACTCTCCCACGGTGCTCGAGATTGCAGTTACTAGGGCTTGGATAACCTCGGACCATGTTTGTGATGCCGTTTAACTTCGTTGAACCTAACCCCGCTTAAGGCTTCTTCATTCGGTCAAGGAGTGCAATGTCGAGCCCGTCCGAAGCCGAGCAACACCGCAAACGGGACTCGACATTTCGGCGATTCGACCATTTGGGACTGGACACTAGTTGGCTTTCCCTCGGGCTTGCACCACCGCGGCGGATGGTCTTCTCCAAACATCTTGACTCGAGGGCGAATAAGCAGACGTTCAGTTCTGCATTGGGCCAGTCGTACGGAAATCTAAAAAGGGGGGAAATTTGTTCAACCAAATCATATTCTTATTTGCGTAGCTACACACTCAGAATACAGGGCTTCATGAACACTTTGGAACAGAGTATTAGCGCTCCTTCGGGCATAGATCGGATGTCATACACGTGAAAAAGCACAATAGCTTTTACTTAGAGGTTGTTTGACCTTGTTTTCGCAACTTGGTCATATTGGTAGGAAGACTTATTGGTACGCACCTAGTCCGAGGTCCATTGTCTGCATGATCATTTCCAAAGTTGAACCGTGGACGTGGAACATTCC